CTGGAGTCTGGGGAAGGCTCTGATGAGGGCTCTGTGTTGGAGGCAGAGGGGGGGCCAGTTATCAGCTGTTGTCAGAGTCAGACAGCATTGAGGTAGATGAACAACTGGAGCCTGTTCCCTGTGTGCGCATGCACAGAGTTGCCAGACGAAGGGAACAGCTAAAGAACAGGGGTTGACTTGGGAGTAAGGCCATAGGTGGACGATGAATAGCCCCTCCCAGAGGAAATAAAAGAGGAGCAGGAGGGGAGTGGAGTTTGCAGGAGACAACTAGTTCGTTTAATTGGTTCATGGCTCTCCAAGACTCCTTGCCAAGTTTTGCAGTTATCGGCCTGGCAGCTCTCCAAGCCAGATAAGGTCTGTGACAGTAAATCCTCCCTTGAAAGACTTTGTTAAATGTGAATGAGAAGAATTCACAGTAAATTAATAAAAGGGTTTTTTGTCTCGACAAGAAGTTTGCTTTATGCTCTTGGGAAGCCTAGGTTAGAATATGGAGAAGCTCCAAGGAAGGAATAGCCCCGTTTCCTGTTTTGTAAGCAACCAGTCAGATATTCCCCCAAAGTTTTTTCTACCATAAAAAAAATATAGATTGAGCGTTGTCCTCTGACTGTGCTGGACCACAATTCCCAAGCACCAGAGTTACAGCTGAACCCATCTGTAGAGCACCTGGCCAGAAAAGTCTGCTTATCCTTTTCAGTAAGAAAATATTCCATTCCATCTAGGCTCTGATTGTCCACTGCACTGCTCCCAATAGTTCCCAACTAAGAGATACAGATTAACTGTAGACCTATTCCATCTCTCAGATTATCACTAAATCCTCCTCATGATTAATAAAGTTGGACGCCTGTCCCCGTGAAAGAAAAACCATGTGAAAACACTGAGATAGTCCACTGCTTCCTCAGGCAAGCACTAAAATACAAAATTCACCCCAGTCTCTCTCTCTCTCTCTCCCTCTCTCTTCTACCCTCTCATTTGCAAAGCAGACTCAGCATAATTGCCCCAGGGGAGCTTGGCTACTTCATCAATCCCTGCTGGTCTGTTGTGGCTTACGCAGGGCTCTTTTATTAGCCTGTCACATTTAAGGTCAGCCTCAAGCTATCCCCATCTATCACCAAATTACTTTATGATCCCAAGTCTCCCTTTTCCCGGAAAATGAATCACAAATGTGGAAACTGTATCTTGCAAGTCGTCAGCCCAGCTGCATTGAGGTGGAAGGAAAATCAGGGCTGCCGTCCCAAATACGGCTCTCTGGGACTGAGCCTCAACTCGGGCTTGCTTTGGAGTAGACGTGCAAAGGATTCCTGGCTGGGCGTGGAGTTACTTGAATTTTGGAGACAATGTTGAGAGGCTGAAATCCAAAGGAAAGCTTTGCAGGACAAATATTTCCTGCCACAGTTCATCAAGCCAGACTCAGTGGCTTTTCATCTGAGCTCTTACCTCAAAGTTGGCTTAGGTGTGCTATGAACACTTTCATTATCTTCAATCTCAGGGCCGCTGTCACTGTTGTTGCAGTCCTCAAGGCTGTCATAGAGCAGGCCCAGATCTTCCTCCACTTCTTGGGTCTGATCCACTGGGTCAGAATCCAAAACCTGGAAATCACAAACGACAGTGAGGAAGAAAATGATACTGCAACATAAAGTACTAATTTCATCCATTACTTCATGGTTTCTATTTTTCCTGTTTTTATTACATATAAAAAGCCATACCCAAAATTAAAATTCTCCTTGCCACTGCAGTAGCGTAAATGCACCATCTTCAGGCTGGTGTTTTCGGCTTCGCGTTTGTGTGAGAAAAGCGTGGTCGGAGCTACCGTCTTTCTATAAATCTTGGTGGGGGGCTGTGGAGTTCTGGCTTTGTTTCAGTAAGTGGATTGATTGGCTGTGTAGTTGTATCATGATTGGTAGATTGGTGATGATTGGTGCTGGCTGTGTGTCGGTTGTTGTTTTGTGTTGTAACAGCCTGGGTGGTGGGTGGGGCTTGTTTGTTGACTAGGGATGGTTTCCAGATGTCTGGTAGGCAGGAGGTATCATCACATTTATTCATGTTGTGGGGGTGTTTCTCTATTTNCCCGACTCTCGCTCCTGCCCTTTTTGGCTGTGCAGACTGCTGATCTCAGTCTGGGAACCAGAGTGAGAGACGCCCTCAAAGAAGCGCCTGCAGAAGAAACAGACAGACAGACAGACAGAGAGACAGACAGACAGACAGAAAGAGAAATGAGGGAGAAGTGAAGTCACCATAACCCAAGCTTGAATTCCACCCCATTCTCTATCCCCACTGAGCACCACAAGCAAACCCATCACCAAAGCCCTGGCCTTTCAGCAACACAAAAAGATAGTTGGGAGGGGCCCCCGATGCTTGTGAGCAAAAGGGTTTTGAAGTATCACTTTCAACAGAGAAGGAATCAAATAGAGCAAAGCACTTCTACTTCCAGCTAGAACAAGTATATTCTCCCCAACCAACTAGATTCTCTCAAGTAACTGAACCTACAGAAGAAAGAGGACAGCTATTGTTCAAACCTATTGTTAGGATTGAAATGGCTGAGGGGGGAAATCAAAAGCAAAACTGAAAGGTAACTGTTACCTATGATTTCTATTATAGGAAGAGAAACTAAGTGAGTCTGCTTTGGCTCAAGCTTGCTACTCTATTTTGTAAGAAATATGCCCCAGCAGCACAGCTAAAGGATAAGATCTACATTACAGATTGGTCTAACTCCTGGCTATTGCTCAGCATTAAAACATATTGCTGGGTTCAGGTAAGACTGAGTTGCATGATTTCTATCGGAAGACAAATAAGAGTTGGGACATACGGAGATTTACTCAAATCTACCTGCAAGAACTCAGATTACATAATTCTTTGTAAAGATCTTGCATTGCCAAGATCTGAAAAGGAGCAGTATAAAGTGTCTGTTGAACACAGGGTCTGCTTCCACAAAGTGGAATCACCCAAACGAGCTAAGATATATATTTTTTTCAGATTTCACATGATACAAATCAATAATGACTTGTTGACTTTATGACTTTTGCAAAAAACCTGTCTCCTTTTACATTTTAACCTTTATATTTTGTTTCTATGTTTTAATAATTTACTGTAAACTGCCCAGAGTTTCTCTGTGATGGGGATGGCAAAATGTGATAAATAAATAAAAACAAAAACGAATAGCAATAGCACTTTAGACTTATATATCACTTTATGGTGCTTTACAGCTCTCTCTAAGCGATTTACAGAATCAGCATTTTGCCCCAAACAATCCGGGTCCTCAAGCTTGAGCCTAGTGGGATTTGAACTGCCAAATTGCAGCCAGCCGGCAGATAGCATAAGTAGCCTGCAATACTGCACTCTAACCACTGCGGCTCTAATGGGATGTGCATGTTTATGCATGTATGTCTGCATACCCCCTCTACAATACTATGCAATGTCAGGGAATACCTGCAAAGGACCATAACCTCAAGGCAAGCTCTACTAAAAGACCAATCTTAGTGTAAAACAGAAGAAAGCTATTCCCATGTGCTTCTAACAACCCTAACATTAACTCACTCAGATCAGACTGACGGTTCTTCAAAGATGGAAACATCTGGGCAAATAGATTTCTGATGGAGCTAATTTCAAGGATATTGTCTTAAAAGTGTCATCTCAAATACACAAAAGCCAATCTTGGGGCTTATAAAAAAAAGCATTACTATATCACTAAATGTACTGAACAGAGAATTTTTCTCAATCGAAAATACCCTCCCCCTTTTCTCAAGTCACGGATGAACTGCAGAACATTCTCAAACTTACAGGACAAACGCAACCTTCTTTGTGGATTAATCTGCAAGGCCATTTTCCTGGAGATTTGAGGTGTTCATTATGTACCTCCATTATCTATGCTTCAAATGTGATACAGATAAGAATATTCCTAGCGATTTATCTACCATTAATGAAATAAATTTACAGGAAGTTGTGCAGATATGACCTTCAGGAACGAGGATAACCTTTTCTAAAATGTTTGCTGCCTTGGAAGAAACAGGCATGGCACAACTGGAGTGTTGTGGCCAGTGGCCAGTGGCCAGTGGAGCTGGCAGCAAATTCAGACAGTGAGGAGGTTGGGGAGGAACATGGGCTAGTCCTGGAGTCTGGGGAAGGCTCTGATGAGGGCTCTGTGTTGGAGGCAGAGGGGGGGCCAGTTATCAGCTGTTGTCAGAGTCAGACAGCATTGAGGTAGATGAACAACTGGAGCCTGTTCCCTGTGTGCGCATGCACAGAGTTGCCAGACGAAGGGAACAGCTAAAGAACAGGGGTTGACTTGGGAGTAAGGCCATAGGTGGACGATGAATAGCCCCTCCCAGAGGAAATAAAAGAGGAGCAGGAGGGGAGTGGAGTTTGCAGGAGACAACTAGTTCGTTTAATTGGTTCATGGCTCTCCAAGACTCCTTGCCAAGTTTTGCAGTTATCGGCCTGGCAGCTCTCCAAGCCAGATAAGGTCTGTGACAGTAAATCCTCCCTTGAAAGACTTTGTTAAATGTGAATGAGAAGAATTCACAGTAAATTAATAAAAGGGTTTTTTGTCTCGACAAGAAGTTTGCTTTATGCTCTTGGGAAGCCTAGGTTAGAATATGGAGAAGCTCCAAGGAAGGAATAGCCCCGTTTCCTGTTTTGTAAGCAACCAGTCAGATATTCCCCCAAAGTTTTTTCTACCATAAAAAAAATATAGATTGAGCGTTGTCCTCTGACTGTGCTGGACCACAATTCCCAAGCACCAGAGTTACAGCTGAACCCATCTGTAGAGCACCTGGCCAGAAAAGTCTGCTTATCCTTTTCAGTAAGAAAATATTCCATTCCATCTAGGCTCTGATTGTCCACTGCACTGCTCCCAATAGTTCCCAACTAAGAGATACAGATTAACTGTAGACCTATTCCATCTCTCAGATTATCACTAAATCCTCCTCATGATTAATAAAGTTGGACGCCTGTCCCCGTGAAAGAAAAACCATGTGAAAACACTGAGATAGTCCACTGCTTCCTCAGGCAAGCACTAAAATACAAAATTCACCCCAGTCTCTCTCTCTCTCTCTCCCTCTCTCTTCTACCCTCTCATTTGCAAAGCAGACTCAGCATAATTGCCCCAGGGGAGCTTGGCTACTTCATCAATCCCTGCTGGTCTGTTGTGGCTTACGCAGGGCTCTTTTATTAGCCTGTCACATTTAAGGTCAGCCTCAAGCTATCCCCATCTATCACCAAATTACTTTATGATCCCAAGTCTCCCTTTTCCCGGAAAATGAATCACAAATGTGGAAACTGTATCTTGCAAGTCGTCAGCCCAGCTGCATTGAGGTGGAAGGAAAATCAGGGCTGCCGTCCCAAATACGGCTCTCTGGGACTGAGCCTCAACTCGGGCTTGCTTTGGAGTAGACGTGCAAAGGATTCCTGGCTGGGCGTGGAGTTACTTGAATTTTGGAGACAATGTTGAGAGGCTGAAATCCAAAGGAAAGCTTTGCAGGACAAATATTTCCTGCCACAGTTCATCAAGCCAGACTCAGTGGCTTTTCATCTGAGCTCTTACCTCAAAGTTGGCTTAGGTGTGCTATGAACACTTTCATTATCTTCAATCTCAGGGCCGCTGTCACTGTTGTTGCAGTCCTCAAGGCTGTCATAGAGCAGGCCCAGATCTTCCTCCACTTCTTGGGTCTGATCCACTGGGTCAGAATCCAAAACCTGGAAATCACAAACGACAGTGAGGAAGAAAATGATACTGCAACATAAAGTACTAATTTCATCCATTACTTCATGGTTTCTATTTTTCCTGTTTTTATTACATATAAAAAGCCATACCCAAAATTAAAATTCTCCTTGCCACTGCAGTAGCGTAAATGCACCATCTTCAGGCTGGTGTTTTCGGCTTCGCGTTTGTGTGAGAAAAGCGTGGTCGGAGCTACCGTCTTTCTATAAATCTTGGTGGGGGGCTGTGGAGTTCTGGCTTTGTTTCAGTAAGTGGATTGATTGGCTGTGTAGTTGTATCATGATTGGTAGATTGGTGATGATTGGTGCTGGCTGTGTGTCGGTTGTTGTTTTGTGTTGTAACAGCCTGGGTGGTGGGTGGGGCTTGTTTGTTGACTAGGGATGGTTTCCAGATGTCTGGTAGGCAGGAGGTATCATCACATTTATTCATGTTGTGGGGGTGTTTCTCTATTTAGATAGCTTCCATAATTATTCTCTTGTTGAAGTGTTCAGTTTTGGAAATTAATTTGGTTCCTTCAAAATTAATTTCATGTCCTGTAGCTTTAAGGTGCTGGAAAAGGGAGGAAGTTTTTTTCTTACTGCGTTCTTGTGTTCTGTGATGTGTGCATTTATTCTCCTATTCGTTTGACCTATGTATGTTGCAGGGCAGGTTTTGCATGGTATTTCATAGACTCCTTGGCTTTCCAGCTGGATTTTGTCTTTGGGGTTTCTTTTTTTTTTTCTCACACAAACATAAAGCTGAAAACACCAGCCTGAAGATGGCGAGTGAGACTTCGCCGAAATGTTGACAAGACAATCTCAATCTTACACAGGAAAACACCCAAATACAACAAGACCAGTATACCTACACCCGTTAAATATATCACTATGAAATTTATCACTATGAAGTCATTTAAAAAAAAAATTAGAGTGTATTCAGGTTTTTATAGCAACACTAGCTGATAACCCAGCGTTGCCCGGGTATTTATTTATAAGGGGGGGGAGGGGTGAATGTCTGGACCAAATGTAATTTCTAATGTTGGATTTTCCCCCTTACCAGCAGGAACCCCCCTTGTGGAGTACTGTGAAGCCTTTACCATGGCAACTCCACTGTGCTGTACAGTAGAAGCCATTTTACGGCAGTACAATAGAAGTCATTTTAAGGCACAACAGGCTGTCTCTCAACAGAACACACACCCCAAGAGGTGTTAGGGGCATCTTACCCCTCACAGTATTTTTTTTCCAGAGAGTAAAGTCATCTGTGTACCAAATTTGGTTAAAATTGCTCAAGGCATTCCAGAGTTATGCTGGAACATACGCACTACACACACAGCCATTTATACATATATAGATTTGTAATTCAGGGCTTACATATATTTATCCATTTCAAGTAATGGTGCATTTATCCTATGTCACATGAGGGTATAGTATTCTAGAGATGAATGTGTGTTGGAGGAAAAAAGAGAAAGAGACTCTTAATTTTAGAGTCATCTGAATACTTTTTGAGTCTCTCACATTAATAATCATAAAGCAGGAATGGACAATTTTTAAAAAACTGTGGTCCACAAACCATAACTTAGTTTCCTGATCATTCAGAGGTTATAGCAAGCCACTTATGAAGGGATAGACATTTTTTTTTTACACGTTTGGGAAATTACGGCAGAAATGGGAACAGGCCTCTGCAGAGCAACTAATGTAGTGGACTATGATTTATAAAAGCTCACGAGAAAAATCTTTAAAGTGCCCAGAATTTTTTGTTGGTTTTGCTGAAAAAGTCTAACATAACTATAGCTCTCTAGAAGCTCTTAAAAGAAAAAGGAAGAAATAGTTTGTTCTCTAAGTGTGTGAATCTTAGACACTCTATATTTTGAAAGTGTTACTGATCAATCCTATAGTGGTTAACATAAGCTTTTATGCCAGGGGTCTCCAACCTTGGCAACTTCAAGCCTGGAGAACTTGAACTCAACTTCAAAGCTAGCTGGGGAATTCTGGGAGTTGAAGTCCTCCAGGTTTAGAGTTACCAAGGTTGGAGACCCCTGCTTTATGTTATACAATAAAACACCTCTGATCCTGAAGGAGCCCCCCCCCCCTTCCCAAAGCTACCCAGCTCAACATCCTCTGCTTAACACTTCACCGTGGAAGGATTTATAAAATAGAGACACAGCGAGAGTAATTGCATGCAGAAGCTTAAACCAGGCCATCAGGTTGGGGGGAAAAGCGTGCTCCCTCCTCCTGAAAAACTTGGAAATTAAGTCCTACGGGATCAAAGTTTTATCTCGATGACCAAAGCAGAGGATTTGCTTTACAGTCTGCAGCATCAGGCAAAACTAAATTAATTAAAGCCAAATTACAAAATCACTAATAAGCAAATAATTCTGGGAGAATGTTTTTCTACTCTCCTGAGATGGTGTATATACTAGTGTACATAGAGCATGTCTCCTAATGCTCTGGGATCAAAGGAGCACTTTTAAGTAACTCAGAACCAGATTACGCTGCATGCTTTCCCTTTCCTGGGTTGCAACCTATACCCAAGTGCTGCCAGCTGTTATGAAATAAATGAAATGCAGGGGAAGGGGGCTGCCCCCCCCACATCTGTCAACATTTTTAGTCAATCAAACCTTTCAAATTTTGATGACCTAAGGCCAGCCCTGGAACCAAAGCGGAAAGGATAATAAATACTATAATAAGGAGTAGCACTTTGGCTATTGGATGGTTTGCACCCAATTTTGTGGGGAGGTCTGCTGGAGAAGGCATTAAAACAGCATGTTAATGGCACTGATTTCTATTACTGCTGCGGCAAGCTGTGAATGTGAAATGAAGACAGTAAAAAAATATTAACCTGGGGGGAAGGGGGGGATCATAAGTGGAAATAGCAAGCAATATAGCATCCTTCAAGGATGGGAGGAGACTTAATCCTCTCGTGCATGAAAAATGAAGTAGAAACTAGTGCACTGAAAAATCCTTACAGTACATTCAGAAAGGGGTGGAGAAATCTGTGGCCCTCCAGAACTTATCAGATTCCAATTTGCATCAGCACCCGTCACCATGATCAAAGATGGGAGCTGCAGACTGCAGCATCTGAAGGCCACAGGAGTCTTCCCATCTACTGCACTGGCTGCTGCATTTGATGCAATGAAAGCACATTGAATTAGAGCAAGCAAATGCAGGGATCTCTTTGGTGGGATTCTACTGCATTTCTGGTGTGGCCATGCAAGCACCTTGGCCATAAGAGCCAGTTTCATTTTCTGCAGCAGATACTCCTACAAGAAATTAATTGCAGGGTAATTTCTACTAAATATGATTAACTAAAAATAAACTATATTTCTACAAACTATATCAAACTAAGCTTTGTCCATGCTAACAGTTGCTAAGATACCCAATGCTCTGCTCTGAGACATACATGCACTTCATTCATTAGAATAACAAATTATGTTGTAGTGGTATTTTAGTCGGTCTAAAATAACCTTTTACATTTATGGTGTAAATAGCCCAGGTAAGCTAGAAATAAATAAATAAATAAAAACATCTTGGGGGGGAAAATGAATCTGCCACAGAACTGAATATAAGATGGAGAACATTATTTTTTTTTAAGATTCTACTTACAGACTCCATCCAAAAGTTGGGTTTCTCTTAGCATAAAATATTAACATGTAAATAATGGATTAGACTATAATGTTTCACTTTAAGTTATATTTCATATTGTGCTTATCACTGACACTAATATTCGTTTCTCAGCCTTCTGGCTAAGATCAAGTGTGATTTAATTAATCTTATGATGGATGTAAATCTCTTATTTGCTTGCTTTGTGCTTCTCCTTCTGTTTAGGTTTATGATTTTCCTCTTTTAAAATGTTCAGCAAAAATGTTCAAAAAATATTGAGTGAAGAAGGAAAATAGTCTGCCTCCACATCTATCGGAAATCAATTTCCTTCTTTTTTTTGTTTTTTGTTTTCTTTTTTTAAAATTTTTCCCTCCCTCCCCCACCCCCTTTCCTCCTCCCCCTCCCTCCCGCGCGCCTATGACTCAGTGGAAATCAATTTCCTTACCTCATCTGTCACTTTAAACCTCTTCAGCAAGGCAACAAATTTCTGCTTGAAGTTGGGTTGCTAAAATATAATAAAAGAGGAAACAGATTTAGTAAAAAAGGGAGAGTCTTCCTTTGCTACCTCCCTTTAGCTGAACTACCACACATTCTGTAATTGGCCCACCTTGCCATTTCTTCCCTAGCAGAACTAAAACATTGAGCCGAGGTGGCGCAGTGGTTAGGGTGCAGGCCACTTCAGCTGACTGTTATCTGCAGTTCAGCAGTTCTAATCTCACCGGCTCAAGGTTGACTCAGCCTTCCATCCTTCCGAGGTGGGTGAAATGAGGACCCAGACTGTGGGGGNGTTCTAATCTCACCGGCTCAAGGTTGACTCAGCCTTCCATCCTTCCGAGGTGGGTGAAATGAGGACCCAGACTGTGGGGGTGATATGCTGACTCTGTAAATTGCTTAGAGAGGGCTGAAAGCCCTATGAAGCGGTATATAAGTCGAACTGCTATTGCTATTGCTATTGTCCAAACACTGAAGCCAAAATGATCTATCAGCAGCCCAATTTCCCCCAATTTCCAAAGGGAGAGGATGAGCAACCCCTTGTGAATAGCAACATCAGTGTCAGCTTCTTTCTCAGGAGCTAACCTCTCCTGATTCCCAAGGCAGAGATGGTCAGCATCTTCCATTCATTTGTCTAATCATTTGTGGATTTAATCAGGAGCAGCAGGAGCGGCGGAACTTAAGATGAAAAAGGAAAGAGCACTAGTTGGAGTCACTGCGCTGCAAAGGGGGAACCCCAGCTATTGCTGCCAACTGCTGAATGTGGATGCCTATTAAGTATGGTCTTTTCATCCCAACAGCTTCCTATTTAGAAGTTACTGCTCTTATGCATGTTGTAACACATATTCACGGAATCACAGAACTGTAGAATTGGAAGGAACTTTGAACATCTCGTCCAGGGGTCTTCAATCTTGGCAACTTTAAGACATGTGGACTTCAACTCAACTTCAACTTCAAAGCTGGCTGGAGAATTCTGGGAGTTGAAGTCCACAAGTCCTAAAGTTGCCAAGTTTGGGGACCCCTGATCTAGTCCAACCTCTACTTCTATAGGAATGGACTACAATGACTTTCCATCCAACATAAATGTAAACATCTTCAGTGAAGTCCATCACATTTGAAGGCAGTCTACTCCCATGTCAAATAGCCCTTACCATTAAGACATTTTTCCTGATGTCCAGTTGAAATCTACTTCCTTGTAATTTAAACCCATTGTTTCTTATCCTGTATTATGAAACAAATCAGTCCCATCTTCTATGTGATAGCTTTAGTAATATCAGATGAAATGCATGTGGATATCCTGAGCATGAATATAGCTTTCATAGCAAAAACCAGAAAATATCACTATATTCTAAAAAAAAAAAGAATCTGAATCCAGAAAGAGGCCTATAACACACCTCACTCTGAAATCTATGCTGATGGAAGACTACATGAAATTCTCTCTTCCCCTCCCTCTCTCCCCCTCTCTGAATTTATTTAAGGATGGCACCTAGATTCCCTTGGGCGAAGAAAGGGGAAAAGTGAAGTGGGACTTGGAATCATGGTTTATTACGGAGGGCCTTTATTCCTGATCCCAGCTAAAGCCCACAGAAATCCACCCCCAGGAAAAAAGGGCTGACTTTACTCGGGTCATTGAAGTAGTTCGGATCATTTTCCGCCTGGCTTTCTTTGGCTTCCTCATTTCGTCCTCTTCGTCATATAAATCCTGAATAGAAAGAGAGGGCAATGCACTGTCATGACCATCTGGTTTCGGAGGGAGGCCTGTTAAATGAACTCTGTGATTCCTTGGATATTTATTAGAGAGTTTTAGAGAACAACAAATAGAGATTACATGGCTGATGATCAATTGAGGTGGGGAAGGTTGAGGTGGGGAATCTTCTCAGAAGGTATGTTTTAAAAGTCAGCTTATTCTGGGTCAAAATAATGTGTGCAATCCATTAGAACTATTTTAATAGTATCATTCCAGATACTTATTGGTTGTTCTCTGATAAATATCTCAATAGGTTTAACACTGTTGCTAGAAACCTCTTTTTCTCTCTTAATAGCTTTTGTTTCTCCCATAAGCATCCATCCACAGTGAAAAAAACCCTGCTATTTCTGGTAAGTGAAGGAGAAAAAACCTTAATCACTTATTACATGTGTTTGAATTGCAGGACAAAAATCCACTGCATCTCAATTCTCAGAATGGGGCTTTCTTGTACTTTATCATCTACTAAACATCCTTTTAATCAATTGTATCTCTCCCTCTCCCCCCCCCCTTTCTTCTCTCCCTCTCCCTCCCCTAAGCCATTCTATAAACTGGGTACAGATTAGCTGCTGAAGTGGGAGGAAAGAGACTAGCAACTGATACTGGGACTTAGTACTAAAATATACTCCTTCCTTGACAGCTGGAAGGGTGACTCAAAAAGGTGTACTCTTCCTAATCTATTTTAATAAGGATGGGTAATCAATCTTGTTGTCCAAGTTTTATCATCCTCAAGGACTGAGGTTTTTGTAACTCAAATACGCTTGAAAAATACCCAGCTTATGAATTCATGTCTTACAGGAAAGGTAGTAGAAAGGCACATATGTAGATACGTACCTGGCCCTGTACTGCATCATCACTGGCTTCCTGCTCAGAGGAAAAGCTGTCATCCTCTTCTTCAGAATAGTTATCAATATCTGGAGAGCGATCTAGAACAGAAAAAGATAGTTACCATGGCCACTCATGAATTGATACAGAAGAATGGAAGAAAATACTGCAATAAGGCACTAGCTTTTCTAACGGAAGGCTACACATGAATGGAAGGAAGTAACTGCAAGGTTCATAAGAAAAGTGACAAAGCACAACAGAATATAATGCCAATTCATCTCAGAAGGGAACAAATTTTGAAAGTTTAATCCCATTACAACTTGAGGTGTTTTTATTAAACATCACTAAACCATGCACTTCTTCAAAACATACTGAACTGATATTATATTTAAGGATTTTATATGCTCTTGAATGGAAAAGATCTCTGATCTCCTCTATGCGTGAATGGTGAATTAAACTGGGGGATTATGCCTCAAGGTCTAGAATAACTCCATATCTAAAAAGTAAATGTGATCTACAATTTAATCTCATTTGGAAGCCATTTCTTGGCAACATTTTTATCTGTAGAATTGTACTACATTTGAAATGTGTCTTTTACGGTTCTTATTTTAATCTGAGATACAGTCTACACCAGTGGTAGTCACCAGTGGAAGAGCCGAGGTGGCGCAGTGGTTAGGGTGCAGTACTGCAGGCCACTTCAGCTGACTGTTATCTGCAGTTCAGCGGTTCTAATCTTACCGGCTCAAGG